TCCAGAGATACTCTGATGGTAGAGACACCACGAGCGCCCAGTCCAACAATCGCGGGTTTCTATGTCGACTGAGGTCGGATGAGGACCAAGAGCCTCTGTGCATATTGTTAGTATTTCTCGACAAAGGCCTGTATGAGGTAGAGCCTTCCGAATCCCGCAGCGCCTAGGAGCCTATTCATAATATACTGCCCCATCTTGCCGGTTACACTGACGACGGTGACATTCATCTGGGGGAATTTAATTGACTTTTCTTCACTGTGGAGCGCGGCTTTCATTGCAAATGCAAAGAGGATGCTGGATCCCACCAGTTCCGGGAGGCTGTTACTAGTATCTGTTGACCATATTGTTTTGGGGGGAGAATGTGGTTACACCTTTCGGGGGATTTTGCATTTGAAGCTGAAGCGGCGAAATTGGGCGTTAGGTGTTAAAGTTAAAACTCTTTGCCGCTTTCAATAACAGTGAGGGATTCTAACATGCTTGGTGTTTTCTTTTATGCGGCCGCATAAGCCGCATGCATCCTTCCGCAAGAGCCGACGAGGCGATGGCCGCTCGGTGATAAATATTATAATAAATCTGTAGTATGTAGTGTGACCCCGGTAGGGCCATTCTGGAAACGGTCAGACTCTACCTGGAATATTCCTCTAGCCGTCCCTGTTACCTTCCCAGGGTATTTCCACAGCAAACACCCTGCTGATAAGTAATAGGGTTTCCTGGCCTTGTCGGCGTGTGTGCCGGGGGTTGAACGTGGTATATAATTATTATGTAGTAATTATACTATAATGCTGGCTGAATATGTGTAATTGTATAGATAGGGACTATCTAATAGTGGGAGACAAAATGCAGTAATTATAAAACTAATATCTTTCGTAAGGAGACTTACTAGTCAGGGGAAGCACATATTCAAGAAAGCTCTACGGAAAAAAGGAAGTGAAAATTTATTCTTAATCCTGGCTCTTTTTCTTACTGATTGGGCAAAATGTATATTCAATGATCCGGAAAATCCCATAGCTGTCTGAACCCTGGGTCCATTGTGGGCCTTAACTTACCCTTAACGGACCCCGGGTTCAGGGTGAGGTGGAGATAACGGGACAATGCAGTATTATAATAACTCTCTTGTGACAACACGTCATTACCGAGTTTGCCGGATCCCAGTGGCCGTGATTGGCCAGGTCAGCTCATCGTGGCATTAAAGGGGCCGGCCGCAACGTCCGCATATACGCATGTACCTACTATAGAGTGAAAGCATTGAGAGTAGTATAAATAACCCCTCCGAGATTCAAGGGCTTGATTTGGACACAGCATCAAGTACCTTTATCTTACTATTAAAGAAATATGTTTAAAAATATAGCTCTGGCTGCGCTCAACAACACCCTCGGTGCCACAATGCGTGGTGTTATGTTTGATGGCAGTCCGTTTTCGATATCGGTCCAAGATCTTCCGATGCCACACATCGAGTTGCCCACCGACGCTATCGTTAAGATTACAACTTCAGCCATATGTGGATCTGATCTCCACGCTTACCGCGGATACTCGGCGGCCACGACTCCCTACAACATTGGCCACGAAGCCATTGGGTATATCACCGAGATCGGAAGCAACATCACCAGCCTGCAGGTTGGCGAATATGTCATCGTGCCAGACACATCGGCCCATGCACACATGCCACTGGTGCCAGAGCCGTTGACTTACTACGGCAACGGACCAGTACTCTCGCCTGGACTAGGCGGCCTCCAATGTAGGTAGATTGTAGCGGTGCCTTAATGTGGCGTTGTCAGCTAAAAAGCCCTGTCTGCAGCCGAGTATGTCCGCGTGCCATTCGCGGAAGGGAATCTGATTCCTATCCCTCTGAATAAAACGACGACGAACGCGACACTCGAGCAGAGTTACGTGACTGTCTCCGATATCTGGAGCACGGCCTGGACTGGCCTGGACTTCTCGGGGTTTGAACCCGGAGATTCGGTCGCTGTCTTTGGTGCAGGCCCCGTTGGCCTGCTGACCGCGTACACGGCCATCCTGCGCGGTGCCTCGCGCGTCTACTCCATCGACCATGTCCCTATGCGCTTGGAGCGTGCCGCCTCGATCGGCGCCTTGGCTATCAACTTTGTCGAGTCCGACCCGGTGGCGCAGATCCTCGCGTACGAGCCCGGTGGCGTCGCACGCTCAGTAGACTGCGTCGGCCTCGAGGCTCTCAACAGCACCCTCCAAGTAGAGACCAATATCATTCTTAATCAGATGGTCAATGTCACCCGGCTTGGCGGCGGCATTGGCCAGCTCGGCATCTACGGCATCCAGCCAGGCGCGCCGGCCATCGTTAATGACAGCTCCCTGATCCACGACCCGACCTTCCCTATGTCCCTATTCTTTGGCAAGGGGCTGCGCATGCAGTCTGGCCTTGTAGACGCACGGACAGTCGCGCCCAAGTTGATCGAGCTTATCGCCTCAGGCAAGGCGGACCCGAGCTTTATACACTCGGCCACTATAAACATCGAGCAGGCGCCAGAGTATTATCGGCGGTTCAACCTCTCTCAGGAACTGAAAGTATTTATCTATTTTCCTTGAAAGAAAGTAATAAATAGTATATGCAGGGATACCCTTCGCGAGATGTGCCACTTATCTTACGTAGTAAAGGAGGGGCAAACCGTTTAAGGGTAGCTTTGTCTAATTAGGGCAATACAGTGGAAGACCCAAGACCTGATTAAGCTGTGTTAATACTATTATTTTTCTTACCTCTCCCTTTCAACTTTGGCTTTATATTCCTGGTTTTACTTGGTGTGTGCCTATAGCATTTATATAATATAAATAACTTAACTGTGTTAAAAATAAGATCTATTTTAACTTCTCTATGCTTTATATTAAATAGTAATATTATATATATTTAACTTATTACTTATAGTAAGTAAAGCAAGGCGTTTTTTAAATCCTATTTAACTGCCCCAAGCTTTTAAATAACATATTTGCTAATTAACTAAGAGAATAGCTAGTATATTAATAAAATCTCTTTATGACGTGGTTAATAAGCGAATGCTCTAGATAAGGCAGTGCTCCACTACCCTATACACCTTAAAATCCGGTTTTTAAAAGCCTCTAAAAAGCTTAAATTAAGTTTAAAATAGCTATAATCTTAATAGCTTATATATAAGCTTTGAAATAAGCTATCTTAATTTTCTTATATTTTTAAAAAAATCCTATATAGTTAGTATATAGAAACTGTATTTTCACTAACGTGTTTGATAAGTAAGTGCAACAAACAAGTAAGTGCAACACTGCACTATGTAACTAGAAATAGCCTACCCTATAGTATTTAATTACCTTAAATAAAATAGCTAAGAGCCTAATAAAGGTTATTTTAAAGACAGTATAAAATAGACTATATAATATAATTTTTTTAGATTTTTAAAAAATCTCCTTTATATAATAAAGCTTAATTATACAGTGTAAATAAGCTTTTTTTATACTAATTATAAATAAATTAGTTAGAATTATTTAATAATTAATATAGCTTCGTTTTATAGTTAAATAAGTAACTTTTAAATTATAACTATTTTAGGCTTAATTTAAGCTTTTTATAGGCTTTTAAAATCTGGATTTTAAGGTATAGGTTAAGCTGTTACACTTACTTATCTGTTGCACTTACTTATCAACCACGTTATGTATTTAGGCTTTTCTATATAAAATAAAATAGCTAAAAATCTTTACAAAATATAATTTAATAAGTCTAGCTATACTATTATAAGAAATACTTTTATTAGATTTTTAGCTATTTTATTTATAGCTTAGAAGTGCTATAAGGTAGGCTATTTTTAGTTATATAGTGCAGTGGAGCACTTACTTATCTGGAGCATTCGCTTATTAACCACATTATATTAGCGGTTATATAATGTTTATTTTTTATATTAGGTAGAATAGTACTATAGGGTTATTATAAGTTTGGGGAAATAAGTATTTAATAGGATAAAGACCTTGATTAAAAGATTTAAATAATATAGGAGAGAATAGGGTTGAGGATGTAGTTGGGATACACTAACTAAAGACATTTCCAACAGATTTACAAATTCAGGATCTTCGGCAACTGGCGGAGCATTGGTTGAACCACTGTTGATGATGCCTAGACTGGGGCTGCCAGTACATAAAAACGGTATTCGAACTTATGGCATGCCACTGTATAAGCAGAGGGCTCACTCCCTCGTGCTGGTAGCCCCGGAGTGGCCATTGAGGCCAACATACCTCAGGTTCCGTTACTTGAGGCTTGAAAGGTACCTTGACTCTCTTGAAAGTGGTTAAATTTCTCCATTTACGCCTGTTACTAGACGTGGCCGCGTTTTCCGCCCACACCCAGGAATGAGGACGGGCGTCTGTATCATACATAAGGTGGGGAGGGTGGCTTGACGATGCACTTCCTAGGCACCACCGGGAATTTCACTTGCTCAACGGTGAACTCAAAATGAACAAACTTTAATTAACGGACTGGCCCTGTCTGAGAATCCGCTTCGCAACCATGCTCGGTAAATGACACGAAGAGCGGGGATTGCACAAGACTATGCCCGAGCAGACCGGATGACATATTGAAACCCTGGCTATTCACATCCCTTGTGACCGCACCGCACCCCATGAGGCACCCGATGTTATCTACGTAGGGTGGATATATACTTGGTAGACTGTACCCTATACTCAGACTATCAACCTCGAGGGCAATAGGCGTAAGGTCTAGAATAATTTGGGTTTGAACGGGTGTGTGAACCGTGCACAAATCTCCAACATTCTGAAAATAGGCTAAGGCGCGGCCGCACCTGTCCGCACCTGATCGTGGTCATGCAATGTTGACTGCCCTCTTATAAAAGTAATGCCTCCTAATGATTCAGTCGCCGACATTTTTAACTCTGATCAGCATCAACTCATTGCGGACAGGATAAACCCTGAATCTTATAGTCAGCAGCAAACCATTCTTATCCCACTGGATCTTCTTACACTAAGCTTCCTACCTATTTCTGCCTAGTACCAACATGCCAGGAGACAATCAAGCAAAAGGCAGAAAGGCCCAGGAGGCAGAGGCGTTTCCTTGGAGTACTGAGAACCTTCCAAACAAGCTATTCATAAACAACGAGGTATGACGCGAACTTTCCAAACACGACATACCTCACTGCTGGCCTCTGATGATGTGGTTACAAGTTATTAACGCGCTCAGTACGTCGAAGCCAAGAGCGGCCAAAGGCTCAAAGTCGTCAATCCAAAAAACGAATCCTTGGTCTCCAGCGAGGTGCCACTCGCCGGTGAAGAAGATGTCGAAAGGGCTGTGGAGGCAGCGGAGGCCGCATTCCCCGCCTGGCGCCAGACTACGGCGACTGCGCGTCGTGAATGCCTATTGAAGCTGGCGGATCTCATGGAGAAACACCAAGCTACCTTGATTGCCCTCACTAGGTTGACCCTGGGCATGCCAGTGCAACCCTTTGGTGGCATGGAGCTAGGTATGGCTATCAATGCGTTCCGTTATTTCGCTGGGTGGACGGACAAACTCGCGGGAGAATCTTTCCCACAGGACGACGGTTTCCTTAAGATCATTCGGCACGAACCGCTGGGAGTTACTGCTGGAATTGTGCCCTGGAACGGCCCGATGGGCATGACGGGACAAAAGGCCGGCCCGGCCCTAGCTACTGGCAACTGCTTTATTCTCAAGCCGTCTGAGAAGACTCCTTTGGCGTCTCTAGCTCTCGGAGCGCTTATTAAAGAGGCTGGCTTTCCTCCTGGTGTCTTCCAAGTCTTATCTGGCGATGGTTCAACAGGCGCCCTGCTTGCTAGTCATTTGAGGGTTAAAAAGGTATCCTTTACTGGCTCTACTCTGACAGGCCGCAAGATCCAGCAGATGGCCGCACAGAGTAACTTAAAGCGGGTTACTCTAGAGCTAGGTGGAAAAAGCCCGGCTATTATCTTCAACGATGCCGATATTGATAACGCAGTTACTTGGTGCGTCAATTGTATCACGGCAAACTCGGGACAGGCTTGCTTCGCGGCTAGTCGCGTCTATGTGCAAGAAGGAATCTATGATAAATTTGCTGCCAAGTATGAAGCCCTCATGGTGGAGAGAGCATCTACAATGGGAGACCCGGATGTACCCGGAACGCTTGTTGGTCCTGTTGTTGATGTGCTTCAGTTTGAGAGGATCAAGGGCTTTCTCGAGACTGGGAGGAAGGAGGGTAAGGTTCTGACGGGAGGAGAGGCAGCTCAGGGGCCGGTGAGTCGTCACTTGAAAACAACCAGAAGCCGAGAGACGCGCGGGACTGACGAACGAGCAATCTAGGGCTACTTCATCAAACCTACTATCTTCGAGGACGTTCACAAGGACGCCGAAGTCGTCCGTAAGGAGATCTTTGGACCTGTGGCGGTTCTCAACAAATTCAGCACCGAGGAGGAGATTATCGACCTCGCCAATGATTCCAACTATGGCCTGATGGCGGGTATCTTTACTCAGGATGTCAACCGCGCTATGCGCCTGGCAAGCTTGATAGATTCTGGGAATGTCGGTATTAACTGCATCAGTATGGTCTTTATTAACGCCCCGTTCGGCGGCACCAAAGAGAGCGGGATTGGTCGGGAGAACGGCAGAGACGCGCTGCTCGCGTTCACCGAGCCCAAGACCGTGTTCATCAACTTGACTTATTAGCAAGCTTGCGGAATTCGAATGGTCCCGAGCTTGACAGAATTTCAACTGCCAGGCTGGCGATCTCTCAACAGAGACTGAGAAAAGATTGAAAACAGGATTTGGCTCATTCTTCCATGCTGCTGCCCGTCGTGATTTAGAGCGGAAGCCGTGCCTTGTCTCGCGGTCCTGTCAATGCCAAAGTGATACGGCTCTCATCGCAAGGACTTGATGAGTGTATAGCAACTATCGGGTGTCAAGGGCAAGGGTCACGACCATTCTGAACAGCTTCACAGTTGCCGTGAACTCTAGATCGCAGGCAGCATCCTGTTTACTAGACGATCGGTAGACTCAACATTAGTATAACAGATCAACTTTCGTCGCTCCTTTAGATAGAAAATCAAGCGCTCATTTTGATCTTGGCTATCCATCCGTACATGCGATATCAGGTTTGGAACTTTTATCGCCTCGCGCGGCTGGGCTAGTTTATTTGTAGCCGACAAAGGCTATCTGTAAAACAGGCCTTGGGAAATGACGCCACGCCCTAATGCGCTCCAACTTCAGCCGATGGACATTCCCAGTGCTGAGAATACCTCTGGCCAGGCACAGCTTTTCTCTCATATCCTTGGCTACAGCAAGCTTGGGAAGCACTAAGAATCTGGAATGCATGAACGGCACGGAGAGGAACAAGCTACTACAGATGGCGCCATGGCCCCATCTTTCACCCGTTACATGGGCAACAAGGCTTCCAATACCTGGGGAGTTGCGTCCCAGACGTGCCAAAAGTCCGGGTTTCAAGTTCAATCCCAACGCATGGGGATGAAATGATCGTCGGACTTGGGAGACCAATAGCACAAGCTGGATTTGAATGAGCAGGGGGGCTTCCCGTGACTAGGGGCGCGTACGAGCTTTGGTGCGGCAAATGCGGCCGCGCACGAAGATTCTAGTGTCCTAGTGCCCGCAGGTGCCCCCTTCCGTTGAGGGAAGAAGTTTCAGGCGAGTAAATATCTCCTTGCCTGTCGTCACTGTCGAAGACCTGTTTAGTTTGGTTGATCTATATGTCCTAGTGTGAATATAACCAAGGCCGTGGCATGTTGGCTGGGCAAAAGAACTCGGCCGGGAGCCCGGGGGTACATACTTCATCACGAAACGCGGCCCAAAACTGATTCCCGGTATAGACACTTCCATTCTCATTGATGACGAGACGGCCGAGTTCCTCCCCAAGCCTCGCAGTTTTGTCATCCAGTGCGGAACCACGGCCTTCTTTGCCAATCCCTTGACCGACAAACCCGGCACCATCTAACTCGAGGGTGCCACTTTCTGTCGGTCCCTTGACCTGGGCTGCCAAGATCTCCACGACAGACTCTAGACGTTGAAGGCGTGATAGTAGATGAGCCTGCTTTCTTTTCGGCGTCTGGGCGCTGGTGCTGTCATGGCGCGTCGCTCTTCCAGGGGCGGGGAAGACGCAGTCGGTTATGTTTCTCGTACAGCTCAAGCAAGGGCTCTGGCAGTCGCATCGCACCTTACGCCTGCGGCAAGCAAAACAACTCCGCGGCTGAAAAGCAGGTAGTGGAGGCGCTTGGTTCGCTCCGGGTGAGGCTCCAACGGAGTTACACAAGTCAGAGTTCGCCATCTGCAACGATGATCGTTGAGGTTGAGAGAGATATCGTGGATTTTTTAACAAACAGGCTAGATGAGGGGACGACTTCAGCATGCCAGGCCGGGCTCGACGCGACTCAGTAGAAACGCCAGCTTGAGGCCCCAACACATTTGCCCCTTATCTACCATGCCGGGCTTGTTCGCACTATAGCATCATTCCGTGCGCGACAAGAGTTCGGTACATACCGACCCACAATATACCCCTGATACGTAGACTAATCGAATTAGTTGAGGACATAGTGGAATGCCGGAGCATTTAAACTTTTGCCATTATGTAGGTGCTTGGGACCTTTGAGATAGTCGTACCCGCTAACATGGGCGCTTTCGGCTTCAGGTAGAGCGTGCCCTGATGTGGTGAACTACGACTGGCCACGGGACACAAGGTTCGCTCTAGAGACCCAATTGAACCGGCGTAGAGCCACACCAGTTAGGACCATCCAACCACCGGCCTCGGTGTCGGATGCCCCCAAGTATGGATGCTGCGGCCGCATGTTCCGCATTGCAGAATGTGGACCCTTTCCTTTGGTTTAGCATGAAGTGGGGAGACCTGGGCGCTGCCAACACTGACAGGCATTGCATTTAATGACAACAGGTGTCAACTCCACATCGGCCGCAAGCCTCAGCTTTCCCAGAGTATTTCTTCTCTGCCCTCCCGTCGATATGGCAACTTCCTCGTCACCGATCTCATTCATCCCTGCGAGAGACATCCCACCGCTTACCAAGAAAGTGATTCTGGTCACTGGCGGTACCGCAGGCCTGGGCAAGCAATCGATATTGGAGTTCGCAAAGCATGATCCTGGCCACCTCTGGCTGGCCGCACGCAATGTTGCCAAGGCGCAGGAAACGGTTAATGAAGTCGTCAAGTCTGTTCCCAATGTCCGTATCAGCATCTTGGAGCTAGACCTCGGCTCTCTCGCGTCGGTTCAGCGCGCCGCATCTCAATTTCTCGGATCATCATCTCGGCTTGACGTACTGTTGAACAACGCAGGCATCATGGCCCATCCAGAGAGCCTCACCAAGGACGGGTACGAATTACAGTTCGGAACGAACTTCCTTGGTCACGCTCTCCTTATCCGGCTGCTCCTGCCCATCATGCAGCGAACCGCGCTGCAGATGGGGCCGGGGGACGTCCGCATCGTGAGTCTGACATCAGGGTCACATGCTCGAGCGCCGCCGGCGGGGGTTGTATTCGACTCGCTCAAGACAGACGCCAGCTCTCTCTCAGCAGTCGAAAGGTATGGCCAGAGCAAGCTAGCCAACATCTTATACGCCAAGGAGCTAGCCTACAGAATCCCTGATATTCGAATAGCATCTGTAAATCCAGGAATGGTGAGAACAGGTTTGACGAATGTGATGGGCAAGAACAACTTGGCCTATCGTGTGATCTTGTCTGTCTTATCTCCCATTATGGGGGTCTCGGTTGAGGAGGGAGTCAAGGCACAGCTGTGGGCTTGCATAGCTAAAGATGTTAGGAGCGGAGAGTATTACTCCCGCATGGGAGAGACCGGTAAAGGCAGTCCTCACACCAGGGACCACAAGCTCGAAGACGATTTATGGGATTGGACTCAAAAGGAGCTTGACGCATTCTTGGCCTCGAGTCAGTCATGATTGGTGGTTGGAGCGTGGACACAAAGTATTCTCGCCAGGAGGACTGTGCAAACGAGACCATTTCTCCTAGTTCTGATTATATTTACGAGGCTTCCATAGGCTGCTTATATCGAGCACAACCTCATAAGCCTCAATGAGAGCTCTTAACCTGTTCCCAGTTGCAACCCCCTCATGTCTAGAACGAAAGAACACAGCATAGCTTGATTTTGACAATAAGGTCCAACATACCATTACGTGCCGGGAATCGGAATAAAACCAGAGTGACTTGCTTTAACTTTGATCCCTCTTCTCTCTGGGCTCAGAGGCGCTGTCACTGAAGACCCTTTTGAGTTTTAGCTATACGTAAGCAACTGTAAGACTTCTCGGTTGATAATGCATCTGTCTTGGAACTATTTGCATCCCTGCACTCCAAGCAGTTTTGGACAAGTCGCGGCGGCTTCAAACAACTCCAAGTTAGTCCGGAGGTTTGTGTAGGAACTTTTCCTACTGCCGTGTGCGGCTGGCGGGGCGGACGCGAGCGCTAATGTTGGCGATAAGTCTGGTGTATTAGATGCGCGGTGCAGACTTTGAACAACTCCGCCATGCCGCCGTCCGGAGCATAACTTTAAAATCGCATTTCATATAGACAAGACTTAAATTAGCGACTTAGTATATATATATGTGTGTGTGTGTGTGTGTGTGTGTGTTTTAGTCTAGCGCAGCGGAGCTTGACTCCCCGCCGACCACCAATCATATCGGAACAACGCGTGTCTCGTTCCGCTCCGGCGGGCTTCGCGTTTCAAATATCTTGAATGAAGGTAGCTCGGGTTCGGTGTCGTTCGCAACTTGAAAGTTGCTCCAAGGCAGCCATTTAAATATAAATATTTAGAGCCCACCCTCCCGCTAGATTCCATCGACTTCGAACGCCATCCCAAAACAAGCCACCTTTTCTAACGCCTCCGAGGCAGTTGACATCCACGGCCCTAGCAATAATGGCTCTGTCTCCCGAAGAAATGTCTCAGGGGATGTTGGGTCTGCTACCCAACTCGCAGGCTCCTACCATGGTCCCTGAGAATGACCCTGACAGCCCTTTAGACTCATCGTTCTTCCCCGGCGAGAAGAAGGAGGTAGAAGAAAGTGGTAATCAGAACGGGGATCGAGCCAATCAGGATGGCGCAGCATCATTCCTTGAGGAGGAATATCCGACGGGGCCTCGTCTGGCCATCGTTGTCTTTCCTATGGTCCTCAGTATCTTCCTCGTTTCTCTGGATATGGTAAGCTTTTACTATGGCCATAGCATACACACCGTACGCTAAGCGCGGCTAGACCATTATAGCCACAGCTATCCCCAAAATCACGGATGAGTTCCACACCCTGGACGACGTGTCATGGTACGGTTCTTCATTCTTTATGTGTGTTGGTGGCTTCCAATCAGCTTGTAAGTGTGTCTACAATGGCGGGCCTTTCCACCTCTGGTCCCCAAACAATATCCATTCTAACCATGTGCATGCATACAGGGGAGAAAGCCTACAAGTTCTTCCCACTGAGGGCTTCCTATTTGTTGTCCATATTTATCTTCAAAGTCGGGTCCTTGATCTGCGGCGTGGCACCAAGTTCAACAGTCTTAATCGTGGGCCGTGCTATCGCTGGCGTTGGCGCAGCAGGGATCAGTTTTGGTTCATACATACTGGTTGCCTTCTCCGTACCGTAGTCCCGCCGGCCTATATTCATAGGAATAATAGGCGCATCGTACGGCATTGCCTCGGTAGTGGGGCCCTTGGTCGGCGGTGCCTTTGCAGACAAGGTCAGCTGGCGGTGGTGCTTCTACATCAATCTCCCGATCGGCGACCTCTCTGCGCTTATTATCATGCTCTTCTTCCGAACCCCTCCACAGGGAAAGCACGCTGTCGCCTCCTGGATCGAGAAGCAACTGCAGATGGACTTTGTCGGCGTGGCCCTGGTCATGGGCGCGATCATTGCCTATATTTTGGCGGCCAGACTCACCCCTGGAAGTCTGGCGTCGTGGTCGGTCTGTTTGTTGGCTTTGTACTCATCACCATTGCCTTTGCTGTGTGGGAGTATTCTCCGGACGATCGGGCCATGCTCGCCCCTGGGTTGATACGGGAGCGTCATATCTGGACCAGCTCAGGCTTGGCCCTCCTTTTGGCCGGCCCCTATTTTCTGGCCATCTATTATCTGCCCATCTACTTCCAGAGTATCGACGGCACCAGTCCTACCACCTCAGGAATCCCCAACCTGCCACTGATTCTCACCATTACAATCGCCACGATTTCTTCCGGCGCCTTCATTTCCATGACGGGTATTGCGGCGCCGATAATCCCAATTGGAGCAGCCACCGCAACACTTGCCGCAGGATTGCTTTACACCTTGGACATTGGGTCAAGCTCAAGCAAATGGATCGGCTATCAGGTGCTCGGAGGGGTCGGCTGGGGCCTCTCGCTACAAATTTCCATTATCATCGGACAGGCAACGTCTTCGCCAGAAACATTGTCTTCAGTCAAAGTCTCTCTGCAGAACCGAACTACTCGTTGAGTATCCATCGCTGACGAGCGTTCGCCGCTAGTCTTCCAGACCATTGGGGGGTCCTTCTTTGTTTCGGCCGGCCAGTCCGCATTCGTCAATATCATGCTCGATGTGCTGCCCACCGACGCCCCCGGTGTGAACCCACTCCAACTTCTCGCCACTGGCGCCACGGAGGTCCGCGCAACCTTCCCGACCGATCAGCTTAATGGGATCCTCAGCGCTTATATGTCGGGCATCGAGGGGGCTTTCGCAGTCGGTATCGGAGGCGTCGGGCTTGCTTTCGTGGTAAGCCTCTTGCAAAGGTGGGACAGGCTGAGTCGCGAAGCACTGAAGGAGAGTGGCGGTGCAGCCTAGGGAGGTAATATAAGTAGGTGTTGAGCAGGCTCGGCTCTAAGACGAGAGTTATAGCCGGTGCAATCGTTGTGGGATGTAGTGCTCATGGTAATATGCGCATATTTTCCTGCTTCTCTTTGCCTTAGTTAGAGCACAATGGCTATGTAGAGTAGCAGTGGGAATTATCTCCCCTAGGCAGCTCGCAGTTAATAGACAAGACGGGGGAGCACAACATAGAAAGAATACTCACGATAGTTTTATTCAATTCAGGCCCATGTTCTTCACCGGCGGCTAGACTTGAGTGTACCATGTCAGCTTAAACAAACTAGTTTATTAACATACAGCGTGCTACTGCGCTTCTCCTGATGAAAGACATCAGTCCCGCGCATGTGTCCCCTCCGCCCAGCAAACCCAGCCCACAGTGCAGCGCACAGATACAATCTACTTGCCTCTTAACTAAATCTCTTCAATTCCGTCATATGAAACGGACTTCTGTCCATCTCAACTAAACTCCTCAATTACACTCCTCCCAAATGGTCAACTTTCATACACTCACTCTTAAATCTCGACATTCCGCGCCTCAGTCACATTGAAGTGTCTAGCTGTGAATGAGATACTATTTAAGCAGTTTAACCAACGGCGGAGCCTTCTGTCGTATTGTGAAGGAATGAAATGAAGATCTTGAGCGCCTCGGTGCCATTGAATCACTCGTAGTTGTCGGGGCTGTTCTCAATGTTAATCAGGGCCGACGCGATGAGAGTTGTGTTTGGCCCTCCCGCTGGCGATCAGGTTGACCGTGTCGGGAGCGATGCAGGAGGGCTGCATGAGACCAGCCTGATACTTAAAGCGACTTGATCAAAAATTCACGAGTAGGCAAATCCATGCAAGTTTTGGATGTTCCTGGAGGACGGAGGCGCCAGGAATTTAATTATAGGCGGCGACCTCGTCCATGCCGATGCAACCGACGGCCCTGTGGACACACAGGGGCTCATGTACGAGGATCTGAGTCTGACTTGACAAAGTTGATCGGGATAGACCCGATGAAGCGGGCAACCACGAGGTGGTGGTTAACGTGGTCGACCGAGTAAACGCGGGAGACGCCAAGCAGCATGGCCTGTAAGCAGCCACGCTGTCTCTAGGCTAGAAACCTGACTAGGCGAGTGCCGTCCAGCCGGTAGCTAGAATATCACCGACGATGATAAAGCTTTGCTCCAGGGGTCGGGTTGGTCTCGTTCAGATGAATGAGCAGGGGGAACGGAGTTCATGTAGTCAATCCCGCACCAACTCATGGTGCGGTCGGTGCGGTCCATGCGGCCGCGCTTCACATGGATAGATTTTAACTTTCTATTCACATGAGACGGGGTCGGACCTCGCATTGTGGGCCCCCTGATATAATCCCCCCCGTCGGCGGACTTGTGGACACTGAGCATGGGCATGTAAGGGACGAAGAAAGCATAGTAAAAGTATTCCGCTGCGGGACGTAGTATTGATGAGGCGGAGAGAAACGGAGCTGAACTCGATGGCCGTCCATTTCCCCCCTCCCCGTTCTATATAACTGCCCATTGCTTCTCCTTAACTCACCATCACTTCCTTCTGTATTACTACACATAATTTCTTCACATAACTTACGACAACGCCTCGCTCCCCACCCCCCGTGAAGGCCTTATCTTCGAGCCAGAAACAACATCAACCAAAATGGTCTGTGTCGCTGTTGCCGGAGCTTCCTCCGGTCTGGGCAAGGTTATCGCAGATACCGTTGCAGCGGGGAGCAAGCATGAGTACATTATCCTCAGCCGCAACCTGCCTGCAGTGCCGAAGGCGGTGCAGGTTGATTACAATGATATCGGTGGTCTAGTTGCGACGCTAGATAAGTATCAAGTCAACACGGTCATCTCTGGTCTCTCTCTCGCCACCGATGAAGCCGGCCAGAACCAGGCCAATCTGATCGAAGCCGCCAAGCGGGCTTCGTTCACGAAGCGCTTTATTCCCAGCGAATACGGGTCCAGGTGGAACCGAGAGTAAGTCCTTGGAGTTTGGCCTCCCCCCAATGTGTTGGTCGCTCCGTACCATATCTTTCTGAAACCTGGTCAATTGCTAATGTTTCATGCCTGGACAGGAATATCCCACCTATGCCTAGTTACAGGGGCAAACTGAAGGCAATCAGGGCCTTGGAAGACTCATCCTTAGAGTTCACTACAGTCTACAACTCCTTCTTCCTGGACTACCTCGGTGTCCCTCACATCCCGACTACCATGCCCTATGCACCCAACGTCTTCATTGACCTGGACAACAGATTTGCCGCTATTCCCGGAGATGGGACGGTATGCTTTGTCGCCACACACACCCGTGACGTTGGCCGCTTCGTCGTGGCCCTCCTGGACCTGGAGAAGTGGGAACCAATCTATACCATCCACGGAAGCCGACAGACAATGCTCGAGGCTGTGAAGCTGGCCGAAGAGCTCACGGGCAGCAAGTTCATCGTTGTCCATGACTCGCTCGAGAAGCTAGAGAAAGGGGAGATCACCTTAACACCGACGGCGCTCAAGATGTATGAAGGCAACGACCAGGCTATCCGGCTCTTGACCCAACAGCTGTCCGTGTTTGGAGGGTGGCTTGCCGAGGGACATATGGATCTGGACACCTCTATCAACTCGCTCAACAAGGAGTTCCCCGACATCGAGCCCCTTACCTGGCGCAACATTATCGAGACGTACTTGAAGAAGTAGCGTGATCCACCTGAAATCAGTGCACCCCCCCCAAGCCTACGTCCTCTCACATCACTTACAAGATGCAATACCGGCGAAACTCATTGATTTCTAAGCTGTAACTGCAAATTACAAATTTAAAGTCACAATTGACATATCGTGGCCTTGTTAATGGTCGATAGATTTTCCTATAGTTTCTTCCTATCTAGTAGGCAGTTGCAACATAAGTCTTCAAGGCCACAAAGAGAATTCCTCGTCTTATATAGTTGAATTAGTAGTTAAATGCCTTAATATAGAAATATATTATTTTTATCTTATCTTAAGTATTAAATACAATCCTACTAAATATAGTAGGATTATCTATTAAGAATAATAACTCTGTATATAACTTAATAAGCTCCTTATCTAGGCAAAGATCTAATTTCTAATTTATAGATTATCTTAAAACTTAAACCTTATACTACAGATCACCTAACCGACTTTACAGAGGATGCGATTTATAATTCCTCTATGTTCTAAGGAATCCATTAATATAGTTATTATATTATATAAAACTATAACCTTCCCTATTTTCTTGATTATTTCAGATATGCAAAGAATTATTCTATTATCGCGGTCCCAAGGGAACTATTATAGGTATAGGAACCAAAGCATTCGAGTTATAAGTATAATAGCCAGAAGCTGTCCATTCCTCCGAGGACCAGGTTCAAAGGTGCTCTTATTTTGCGGCAGAGCAGGTATGTCTTGAATTGGTTTGCGGAAATTGTGGGTTCGCATAAGGAATACTCACGACACTTTGAGGCTGAAGGGAGCTCTAGAAGGTTATAAATATATTGGAATATCCACATCCAAGTATGAGATAGTTAAGGGTATAAGGATTTAGACCTGAGAATATACTTTCAAGTATAACTAAACAGTTCTATCAGAGTTCTCTGCATCTGCTTCATAATCCCAGCTCCTTAACTAAACGGTTTTCCGGCTGAATAATAAAAAGATAGACAAGCAGAAGAGTTCGACAGATGAAAACTTCCTATGAAGTCCTGTGTGGCAAGAGCCCTTAGGCGGTGAACGCACTCGCAGTTGCCTTGGCTGCAGCAGCAGAAGACACAGGCTCTTTCTCGATATCAGGATTTGGGGCCTCGCGCCAGTGGCAGGAAATCTCCTTCCAGGTCGTCTTCCAGCACGAATTGTATGCGCAGCCATAGGCACTTTCCGAGTCCTGGATGAGGCAGCGCTTGTTTTGCCCAGAGAACCTGAAGTGCGAACGCCTCTTGCCCCAGTCTACACAGAACTCGACCATGCCTGGCACCGAGGTACTTCGGCAGCCTTCGTTGGCATTGACTTTGTAGGCGCCATAGTCTGTGTAGAAGAAGGCGTCTGAGCTATCACAGCCCAGAGTACACTTGGTAAAGATCTCCATACGGTCAGCGGAGACATTCATGGCGAGCGCCATAATGACAGCGGCGATTTCAAAACGCATCTTAAGGGTGAGACTCGGGGTAAACAAATAAGTGGTTCTTTTTCACAAGAAGGGCGAAGGCAAGGCTGTAGTCTGCAATGGTTCAAGTTGCGAAGAAATCACTGGCTGTGAGTGTAGTTTCGATATTTCAACGGCAGATCAAGCGACTTTTATACTTGAAAAGACCTGAAAGTTTATCTATTTTCTCATTTGCGCGACATCTCACACAGCTAGTGGGACTTTTTGGAGTACTTCCTCAAAAGTTACGCTATTCGAGAAACGGCAGTATTATTCAAAAGGTCGTCTCCATAGACCTGTCTAGACTGATCTCGAGCATGACGCTCTTGCCAATACAAGCTGTATCAAACTACGAAATAATAACGTAAGCTCTGCATTTACTACTAATGGGTTATTCTTTCGCGAGGTATTGACCACCTGCCGAAGAAAGTAAGTGTTGTCTCACATCATCCACCACCGGCAGTATGACCAACAGGGCTCTGTTAATTCCTGAACCTTGAAATGTCTATTTGCGAAAATGAACGCGATATCAAACTAATATACCATATATAATTGCTATTACTTTTCAACTGGTTAAATGCAGATATAGGCAACGGAATCACTACCTCAGCATAAAAGGTAGCAGTAATATCCATTCTTTAAGTCCAGACTGATATCCATATCCCCCATCTAATAACTTACACTTAAGAAGGTTATTACAACAGTATAAGCTTAATTAATCTCTGTATTCTTTACGTCTAAAACCTGCAAGGATACAGCGCAAAGATACAGCACTTGGCAACTAGTTAGTCAGCTGCTATATTATTGAAAAGAATTCTCAACCCCTTGTAGATACCGCTAAGGGTCACCCACCAGCTGCCAGTATTAGCCACATCGCGCACATTATCGTGACCCCTTCTTCTACTATATGAGAGTTGGTAGCATACCTTGGTTTCTTACCAGAAGAGCTATATGACACAAAATTCGAGCCTTACAATTCTTAACTCCTGGAGGCTCTTGACATATCTGCGTTGAGCTTATTCCAGCGGCGTTTGTTTTAACCCATTACACCTTAGTAAGCTTCATTGGTATGTAATAAGGGCTGTAGGGTAAGTAAAGTGTGAAGTAATGACAAGCCCTTGAAATTACGCTTAAATGAAATTATACAGAAGCAAGAGCCCCACAATATAATACTACATAAATAGAACCTGACAATAATTGGCTAACTAAATGACACTACTGGGTATTTGTCCCAACGAGGAATAGCTTGAATATTGTCACTATTATCCCACGTTAAATCTCACCTCCTGCCACCCCTCTCGCATTTCTTTTGTTTGTTTTCGCTAAGACTTCTGCATGTGGGCTACAAATTATCAATTTCTGCGTACCGCGTGTTGTTCTGCGTATTGTAAGACAGCTATGAATGCCGTTGACGAGGCCAAGACGCCAAAGACGAGGCACTGCACTACGCGGAGTCGGAGTGGCTGCTTGGCGTGTCGCGAGAAGCATATCCGGTGTGATGAGAAACGCCCTTCGTGGTACGTCAGCTGTCAAATGGGTGATATATACGGCGGACTGGCCAGTGAGATGGTGTTTTCTAACTGTCAATAGCCTGAACTGTGCTAAGAAGAAGCTACCATGCTGTTACATGCCAAAGATCCCACTGCGGGAACGTAGGACTAAAGCTCGTCCTGGACAGCAAATGGTCTGGTCTGTGACCCAGAGCCAGGCAGCCGCGGTTATTACTTCTCCAGATGAGACGTCCTTGATGACGTTGCTCTCTGACGTTATGAGACCCAGCGGAGTGTTTGATCCCTTCGACGCTTTGCCCATTAAGATGCCACTCAGATCAAAAGAGCTTCTGCACTACTGTTTGTTCGCTTACCCCAGTTCAGCCACAACCTATGACTAATTATTGCTCCCAGTCTTTCAAGCTGGGTACGGTTTCGGCCCCTTTCCCAGGAACCCAGACGATTGGTCAGCCCCTGCTCCAGATTTTGACATGGACGTATGAATATTGACAGTTGGACTGACTAGTCTTATCCCCATTACCCAGAACCCAGATCTTCTACAGAATACCTTGCTGGTTTCCGGAATCCATTATGCTCGGAACAAAGGCGATCTCGCTTTATTTGAGCCCACGTTTCTTTTCCATAAGATCCAATGCATACGACAGGTCAACCTTTGGCTTGGAAGCGGGCCAGACAAAAACCTGCAGACAAAGTGTGCGCGATACATTAGCACGCTTGCCATCACAGAGGCCTGTCTGGGAGACTTTGAAGCTGCTGAGTCTCACCTCAATGGCCTTGTGGTCTACCTTGACTCCAAAGGACTGCAAACAGGCCAAGACGCGAGAGGTCAGGTGGAAGATGAGTTGACCAGTCGTTATTTAATTCTGTAATAATTTCCACATTTCCGTAAAGACGACCATGTCTGCTGACTATCTACCTTTTCTTCTAGGGCCAAAAATGTTCTTCATAGCACGGCAAGTCGCGTCAGGGACTTGATTGCAAATTACTGTGTAGCTAGAGGTATTAAAGAGCCTTTGAAAGTTACAGAGTACGGCTTAATGAAGCACAAACCACATCTGCATGATACAAGCGGCACTATATCCTGCCTGAAAGCCACAAGAATGTTGCCATTCTTCTTCGGCTTCCTCCCCACTGAAAGTATGCCCAAGGATGTTGACATGCACATGACAGTCACAGTCCTGCGAGATCTAACGCGACGTGCTGATCCAAGACACACAAACAGGTCTGCATATACCAACTGGAAAGTTTGGCATAGCGGTGACACGCCGAGGCTTCTCTTCGCGTTGGTGGATTCCCACATAGAATCGTTTTCAAACAAGCTCCAGCTGCCGCCTCAAGGCCGACAAACGTTCATATCATCATGGTCCAGTTTCTGCGTGACCATGGGCATGTATCTTACCAATGTTGTCGAACTCTGGAACCATGGCCTACCAATTGAACGTCGATTGCGCTACTACACTATACGAGTCTTGGAAGACGATATTCGGAATGGTTACGAGACATTGGAACACATGGACCAGGAGACATGTTATACATGGTTCTGGAAAGCCTTCGTTGGATCGTTGACCGTGGCCCAGGCTCAATCGGCTGACTATGACGAGCGGCTTGATGGCATGTTCGACAAGTTTTCCAAGTACATCAGAGCGTTCACGCGGGTTGAAAAGATTTCATCGTGGGACGAAGCAAAAAAGATCTTGGTAACTGTGGTGTGGCCAATGGAGTGTACGCAGGACGAGATATGCACAAAGGTATGGGCCAGCTTGCTTGCCAAGCACTGAGCCTACTACCTGGAGTGGAAGCATGTAATCTTTTTTATATTGGAGCGCTCAAAGTCTCTGTTGCTCAAGAAAGTCTTGTGAACAAGTCAAATAATACACTACGTTCGATAAAATTTACCCTGAGTTCGTGAACAAGCACATTCTTAATAAGCCCCTGTGACGACCAGCTATTTGCACTGATGTGAGTATAAGATTTGAGGATTCGTAAGTTAGCCGAAGCGATGCCCATTTCATGCTTGGTTACTCGCTTCTGATAAGGGAAATGATGCTAAGATAAGTTCGGATTAAGCGGTCACCTAGAAATCGAGTAAACCGTGCTTTCAAGGCAACATACTAATAACAATTCGTAGTGGCGCTCTCAATTGCGGTCAATATAGCGGTCGATTGCTGCGACTTTCAGAATAACACTCATTGCAATTCTCTGAAGAGCTGGCCAAACCCAATAACATTTTTCCAATGTAACCCAAAAACTCCATTGCTGTTTTCCCTATCGGTAACTGCCCAACTGACCTTTCGTAAGGTGTTGGACGTCGCACAAACGCCAAGAAGTAAGATCTGACCAAGGATACAAAAGCCCAGCTGAAATATTTATTCCGATCATCTTTAAATTAGCTTAACTTAGACAAATACACGAGAATGATGACAGATGGCTCCGCATTTATGCATAATATGAGATGCACAGCCTTTTCAGCTAATTAAAATTACAGTAGTGACGAGGATTATTCCGAGTGACTAACTATAAATGAACTTATTTTTCAGACATCATAGCCCTACAAAGGTGGGTCGATATACTGGCAGGCTGTGTTCAACTCACCCTGTACCTACGCAGAGCTGCCTGTATACAATCTGTTGATAAGATCTCCAGCTAACAGTGGGTTTTGCTCGATGTTTGAACTTTTTAATTGGACAACTTACGGGCGGATGCCCTCCAGTCCGAAACATTTTACTGAATGAAAACCTGAAAGCTTATGGATACCATCATATGACCATAGTCTGTTTGAGGTTATTTTATTAAAGATGTAGAACTTCTGATACGGTCTGACTACTGCAGGTCACTATTTTAGGGCCACCTTCACATTGGCTGAAATAATGTTTTCCTTTGACACGTATAGTAAGCACTAAGACTGTAGATTTCAGCCGCACATCTAAGAGGAGATAGCGGTAGGCTGGTTCATATTCCAGAGAGGACTGTGCGTGAGTCTTGTGTCTCTTTATGGCTAGACTAAAGCCGTATATTTGAGAATTTTCGTCGTTGGCTACCTCAAGTCTCCAAGTTGTTGGTTGTGATAAAATTAAAGTGCATGCAGAAATGTCAATGGAAATGGTTTAAAAAGCCATAATTCGCCGGTCCCCAAAAGCCACTCATCACTTTCACACTCACTTCAATTCAATTCACCGACCTCTACTTTCATCGCAATATCCATCATGGCGACATTCGACCGCAATCTTTGCACTCTGGCTACTTGTAGCGTGGAGAAGTTCGGCTGGTACCACTACGTTCCCAATCTTGGAGCCAACGCCTTTTATCTCGCCGTCTTTGCCATCTTCGCCATTATTCAGCTCTACTTGGCTATTAGATACAGGGTTTGGGGCACTTTTGCTCTTGGACTTGTGCTCGGTTGCGTTACAGAGGCGGTTGGCTATGCTGGTCGCGTTATGCAGGCCCGAGGGGATGGTATTTTCAAGAAAAGGTCAGTGTAGCGCTTTCTCCTTTCACAGAACTTGCTGCTAACAGCTATGCCACTTCAGATACTTTGTGATCCAGCTCGTATGCCTTACCATCGCGCCCGCTCTCATCTCTGCTCCGATTTATCTCTCCCTTGGCCGAGTCGTCAAAGCATACGGAAGACAGTTCTCTCTCATGTCACCCAGAACCTATGCAGTCATTTTCATCTGCTCTGATGTTGTCTCGCTGATCCTCCAAGCTATGGGTGGAGGTCTTGCCGCTACTGGAAAGACACAGAAGAAGGTCGACACTGGCGTGCACATTCTGGTAGCAGGATTGGCCTATCAAGTGCTTTCCTTGGCTGTCTTCATTGGTCTGGCGACTCATCTTTGGTCTCGCGTCCGACGCATGGGCACTAAAGACGCTAACCCCCGATTTACCGAACTACGAGCTTCTCGACAGTTGAAGTCATTTATCTGGGGTATGTCACTCTTCCGCTTTTCTTCTTACTAGGCTGACCATCTTGAAGCTTTAAGCATTGCTACCATTACCATCACAATCCGTTGCATATATCGTGTAGTTGAGCTCTCTGGTGGCTTCAAGTCTGAGGCTGCCAACGATGAACCTTCTCTCATGGTCCTTGATGGTCCCATGATCATGGCAGCCCTCCTTGCACTGACCGTCTGCCACCCAGGACCCCTGTTCTTTGGAGACTGGAAGCGACTGGGTCAGGACTCTGGATATCCTGAAATCGGCAAGGAGATTAAGCAGGTCAAGCAGGATGTTGAGCATAAGTAGAGTAATACTAAGGAGATACACTGCACTTAGGGTTAAGGGCAGGGGGTAATATATAATAAAGGTTTTTAGTTATTTAACTAAGAGTTAGTAGTACTAGCTAGCTAAGTAATATAATAAAAAATATAATTAGTTTTAATTATTATATTAAATATATTATATATAATAAATATTTCCTAAGTATTATTTAATTATATTTATCCTTAACTTATATTTTATTTATTATATTATCTTATAAAATAATTTAATTTATTATTAACCTATTAAGCTAGTCTTAGTTAATTAATATTTATAGTTTTTCCTTAAATATTAAAACTTTTTTTTTTTTAATTTATTTTTTTTTTTTTTTTCCCCTCCTTTTATTAGAATAAGAAAATAGCATAATTACTAATATTTAGGCAAAACCTTAGTAAGATATTAGAAGTTAAGTAATTTAAATATAAACTTCCCCTCTTCTAAAAGGAAAGAATATATAAGTATACTTTCTAATAATTAAAAGTCTTATTTATATAAAAATAAAAAGGAATTACTAAAAGTATAACTAAGAAGGAAAGCCTAATACTTATTAAAGATAATTAAAGTAATAACTAATTAGATAATTAGATTTAAATTTAATAATAAATAGATTAGCTAATATAAGGCCTTAAAGGTTAAATTAAAAAATAAGAATTTATAAGCTTATATTAATTTAATAGTATTTAATAAGCTTATCCTTAAGGTAGTTATATTTATATTTCTTAATATATTAATAATAAGATAATAAAGTATTAACATGTCTAATAAGCAAGCCGGTCAGACAAGCAAGCCAGTCAAAAATCCCTTAACTTATAATATTTCTATCTAATTAGATACTTCTTAGCCACCAAATATATTACAACCTTCAGATAAAGCTAGAATCCTTCTTATACTTTAGGCCCTTTAAAATAACCTAAAGCTAAGTATCTAATATACTATAAAGAACTATAAGGTTAAATATAATACCCTCTATAACCAAAAGAATAGTATTTAATTATAATATAATTCTATCCTAAAATCGCAGAAATTATCTAATCTAGAGGAATAGATAATAGTCTAATTTATCCTTGACCTAGATTTACGAGGATTTCCCTTATAATTGCATTTTATAGAAGAAATAGCTAATTCTCTGCTTACTGACTGCAATATATTACCTGTTAATAAGTATTAGGCTTATAACTTTATAAAGTAATAATTAGAGCTAAGGATATATTTATTTTAGAGATATAACTATTAGAGAGCTAAATATAAAGATCTAACTATTATTTATAGCTAGTTTTAGCTTATATAGAATATAATTATAAAGTATAGTATTTAATTAAATAATATCTAGAACTTTAATAAGACTGGCTTTATAATAGGCCTTATTATAGCCAGAATAGCTATTATAGGTTTAGAAATATAAAAAAGGCCAAAATTAGTATAGCCTAGAAACCAAGAATAGATTACTATAATCTAGGCAATTAATGCAAAAGGTTAATTAATTGCGCTATTTATTATTAATATAGGCTAATATTACCTTACTAATTAATACTAAGAATATAACCTCCTAGGCAATTAGGTTATTATAATAAGCTAAAATAGGTAGATAAATAACTAGCTAGGTCTTAAGTAGCTAAAGCACTTTAATAAATTGTTATAACCCTCGCGGTTACGTCACGTATACCCCATAAATTTCCCCACAAATCTCACTAATTACAACTAGACCAAACAGATCCTTCTCGGTCTATTCACTTCAACCAGTCATAACAGGACCGAAGTATTATAACAATAGTCCAGGACCGAAAAGACGATATCTCAGTCCTTAATAGAAGTACTACTAAGTACCCTTATAATTAAGTATATATATATTTATTTAGTATTAGATAGAACTTAGCTTACTAGCTATTAATAAAACTTCTTTATATTAATTAAGCCTAATATATATTAAATCTATTATTAAGAAATATAATACTCTAATAAGCTTAGTATTATACCCTATATAATCTGCTAATAATAAACCTAGTATAACTTACTTTAATATAATTAAACCCTAACTATTATATATTAATAGCTCTTATTTAGATTATATTATATAATACTAAGTAATATAAATGCAATAGCTGCCTATATTAACCCTATATAGTAATACACTATACCTTATACTGCTTTAGCACCTATTAATAATAATCAGGATATAGATAATAATTCTAAGAGTAGTACTAACTCTAATATTACCTAGCTTTATTAGCAGATAACTAATATAATAACTAAAATAAATAACCTTAGATAAGCCTTAGCTAAAGCCGCCATGCTTTAGGCATAGCAGGCTGCTAATTACTAAAATACAATTTAGGAAATACATTAACTTATTACTACTATAGTAAATAGGAAAGAATCAGGGGAAATTCTTAAACCTAATATACCTAAACTATTTAATAAAAACCCTGCTAAACTGGCTATCTTCCTTACTTAATACTAAGCCTATATAAGTTACTTTCTAAACTAGTTTACTAATAATAATAATAGGGTTATATATATATTAAGACATCTTAAAGGCAATACTGCCTAATAGTTTTAACCTATATTAGAAGTAATTATTACTATACTAAAAGATAAACTACTACCTAGAACTTTTTAAATTTATAATAATTATATTAAATTTAAGAAAGCTATATAATAAGCATTTAGGTTAGTTAATAAAAAAAGCTAAGCAGAAAGAAAGATTAAAGTACTCTAATAAACTAAATTTATATTAAAGTATAAAACTAAATTTCTCTAACTAGTTACTAAGCTAGGATAGGACTAGGAACCCCTTATATTACTCTTTTTTAATAGACTTAAAGAAACAATTTAAGTAGAACTCTATAAGGAAGCTAGACTAAGGATACTAATTAATTATATTAGCAGAGCTATTAAGGTTAATAATATATAATTCTAATAGAGAATCTGCTATAACTAAAATAACTAAGGATGCTAGGGAAATAAGCCATGCTATAATACTAACCAGGGAAAGAAATAAAATAATAATACTTCTTATAGTACTGACTCTGGACTAATGACTATTAGAATAACTAAGAAAGATAAATCTAAAATCACTTGCTAGAACTGCGGTAAGAAAGGATATTATAATTTAGAATATAAGAACCCTGTTAAGACTAACTAGAAGTATAAACTAGTCTTAGAAAATAAGAAGATTAATATAGTTAAGAAACATAAAGAACCCTAAATGGCAATTAGAACTATTAATATAACCTGCAAAGATAGTTATAATATAATTAAACTAATAAAATATATTAGGAACTTTAACCTATCTCTTAATATTTAAGATCTATTCCTTAGTAAGGAAGAAACCCTTAAGAGATACTACTTATATCTAAAACTAAAATAATAATCTATCTTAGGATACCTAGCTCTTATAGTAATAACCTATATGTAAAGTAAAAGCAAAAAATAAGCTAAGAAAAGAGTATATAATATAAAAAAATAAGAAGATCCTGAATTTAGAAGAAAAGAAAGTGAATAATAAAAATAATAAAGACTAAAGGTAAAATAAGATATAGAAGTTAAATTTAAATAGGTGCTAGTACCTGAACCAGAAATATAATACCCTGTTAAAGGAAAATCTATTTTTATAGTTAAAAAGGGAAAAGAAATTAACCCTAACTAGGATAATAAACTAAGTACTATAAGAAATAACTAAAAATCCTACTTAGCAGTAGACAAAATCCCTATTAAAGTTACCCCGAAATGACTAAACTAATATACTAATAATCCAAACGATCTAAAATCCTATCAAATCCAAAGAGAATTTAACACCAAATATATTAGATATAAGGAAAATAAAATAATCTAAAACACAGAAATTATACCCTAATATAATAAACATAGAGTCTATTTCTAGAATAATAAATATTAGAAATATATAAAACTTATAAGAGAATATATAATTATAGAATAAGATAATAATATCTATATCTAAGTATATATAAAGGAAGCAGTAGAAGACTCTATAATACCTAAAGAACGCATTTAAATTAAAAAAAATCTAAGGAGATACCTAAACTACCTAAACTATTAGCAGATATTATAGATATTATATATATAATACTACTGCCTATAATACTAGTAAGATAAAATAGCAAATAATTACTTCTTAATATAAATTAATAAGTATTAAGAATAAAAACCTTATATAATTATTAATACTATTAGATATTAAGTTATAAAGAGATATAAAGGATCTTAAGTAATAAAACTAAAAGCTTATACTAAAATATAAGAACAAGCTCTAGTATATATCTAGAATTCCTAATATATTACCTAGTAGAGATAAAAAGTATAATAAGAAGTTAAGATTACCAAGGATAAAGCACTTAACTAAGAACTTAACTAAATTAACTAAGATATTACCTAATAGGAAGAAGAAGTATCTTAAGATAAATAAAATACTATCTAATAGCTAGATAAGTAATAACTATAAAAATACTTAGAAGAATTAAAATAAGAAAGAGAAAGACCTCTTACTAAAAAAGAAAAAGTAAATATTATCCTAGATTATAAAGTAGGAAAAATAAAAGCTATATACTAATAATAACTTGCTACCTAATATAAATATCCTAATGATATTAACTGCACTAGAAGTAAATATAGTATAGACTACCTATAGGGAAAAGGTATATGCTATCTATAATAGAGCGGCAGATAGGCAAAAAAGCAGAGGAAAATAAACTCCTAGAAAAAGCTCTAAGAATAATTATAAAAGGAAGTTAATAAACCTGCCTAAAATTAAAAGTCAGAATTAAGGATAAGTAGTTAAACGCACTTATAGATAGCAGAGCTAATATAAATTTTATTTCCCCTAAAATAGTTAATAAGCTAAGGCTATTATAGAGAAATAAAAAAGAACCCTATACTATAAAGGATAGAAAAGAAGGCACCTATAGTTATAATAATGGAAGAATTACTAGAGAGATTAATTACCTTAAGGTATTTATTAATAGAAAAAA